GAACTAAGTTGGAAAAATAAATATGAAGGTCAATTGAATTACAAAACATGAGATAAAGCTCTCCTTTTTAAATTTAACTGGCATATTTTTAATTGAATTTATTTATTGGTCCATTTATATATTTCTGCTTTTTTTCTAGTCATGTCAGTGTCGGTCCTCCGAACTGCAGAACTTGGACGAGGTAATTCAGTGTCTGAATCAGGTGTGTTGGAGCAGGAAAAACATAAAACCTGCAGGGCTGCGGCCCTCCAGGACCAGGACTGCCCACCCCTGTTTTATAACATCTTCTATGGTTTCATTTTTTCCACAATAATCACATTTCCCTGTATTATGTTTTTGTATTGCAAAAAGTGTGTAATTAAGTCCTGTATGTCAGAATCTCACCCTTGTTATCACTCTTTCTTCTTTTCTGCTCCTTTTCCAGCTCTCGTTTCTCCTACCATCCTTTGGATCTTATAAAACCAYCTCCTTTTGTTACCTCTCTCCATCTCTTCTGACATTCTTTCTTTAATTATGTTTCATGCTTCAGATTTACTTGTCTTAATTTGTTAATGTCATGTTTATCTGCTTTTTCATTTCCTCTTACCCCTATATGTGCTGGTACCCAGAGAAAAACAACAGTTAACCCAATATTTTGTATTCTGAATAGTGTTTGACTAATTACTAGTAAAATGTCTGGCCTGCTGTYTGAGTGATCTGTTATCTTTTTTTATCTGTTTAGTTTTGTTCAGTAATTGGTCTGCAGCTCAGTGCAACTGTAGACATTTTCCAGATTAAAAAACTTAGACGTGAGTATTCATATGAATTATGTATTCATTCATAATGAAGTTTTTTAATGCTTTTTGTCATACAAAGGTTGAATTAAAGGTTGATGACAATACGTGTGCAGCACGGTGAGCAATAAAAACCAGGCAGAAACTAAATGAAATATATTTTCAGTTAGTTTCTCCGTTTGTCTGCTAGCCTGTAAGCTAACAGTCAGTGTTATAATCAGCTGTGCAACTTAAAAAACAAACTCTGTGGCTATTTTAACTAAAATACCAACAATACAGTTATATTAATCACAATGTTTTCTACTTCAATGACCGCTGATGAATGTATTTAACGCAGCAGTTACCTTGATTTTCTTTATCCGACCACCACAAGCCCTTCAGCTCTCACTTCCGGGTTTTCCGTGGCAGGCGTCACGTGACACCATTAAAGTCACGCCCACTGTTTCCACCCACAGACAAAAGAAAAACGCTAAAAATCTAAAAGTCAAAGTAATTTATGGTTCACTACTTTTTAATCCAAGCAGTCAGWCTTGTCATTTTGTGTGGTTTGTCTTTAGGTATTTTTTTACAGGCAGCGTGTTTCAAACACACTTTTTAAATATTGTAAAAAGTGTGTTTGCATATTAAACTATTATTTTAGTTGAAAATATAATAAAATCAAAACACAACACACTGAGCAGTATTCAGAAACAACAAGATTATTTAAAAAAGCTGAGTTAAGAACTAGAACATAATGAAAGATGATGCATCTTTAATGTTCTCATTCCTTGAAGACACAACTAAAATAGCTACAGTTTGACTGCTATAGAGATCATTTGTTTTAATTTTGTTATTTGTACACCATGATCACCAGAATTACAAAAAGAAAGCCCTGAAATATTTTACTTTATGTATAATAAATTTATGTAAAATGAGTTTCACTGACAAAATAATTGAACTTTTTTACTATATTCACATTTTTTAGATGCACTTGTAATTTGACAAGACATTTTTCAAGTTTTTGTCAAACTTTAGGTGTTACAGTATCACAACAAATACATTTTGTGATCATTTCAAATCARTGTCTTTAAATTAAAAGTGTAAAGGTTACTCTTGTGATGTGTCATGTGAGTGTGCTGCACAAAGATAATTCAGAGAATGTAGAAACTAATTACTGATATAATCAGATGGGAAAATGAGACAGGGCCACAGAGAGAAAAATAGAATAAATTCACGTTTCGCTGCATCCACTTGCATGTTGACATCTTTCTAAAATAAACACCTAACTCGTTTTTTCAAGTTTTTCAGGAAACACAAAAAGCTTACCCAGAAGCTGACAACTGACATAAGTGGAGCTGCATTTTATTTTATTTTTTATTTGGACTTTGCTTAATAAACAGACCATCAAGATTCAACTCTTGGATTGATAACTTTTACYAATGTTTAATGTTTTTGTTCAGAGAACTGGGAGCATTCATTGGAACTTGGAGCTCTATAAATAAATTTAAGTGAATTCACGGAAGTGAAAGGCGCATTTGTCCGGAGGAGAAAAATCCTTGATTTTTACATTTTTTAACTCGCGTGCTTTTATTTTGAAATCGCTCCACAAAGTCTTTTCACTGCGCTCCCGCCTCCCTCTGAACGGCTGAGAGGCTGCAAGCTGCTGCAGGGCTGTCCAAACATTTTGTCACATGGGCCAAAATCCTAAAGCCAGAAGTACCTGAGGGCCAAACATATTTTTCCTTTACCTGCTCAACAATAAACTAAGCAATATTTTAATTAAACAAATAAAGTAGCCAGATTTATTGCTGGAAATGGATGTGTAAATTAATCTAGATCCAGAAATTTAAAAGTGTTTTGCAGGTTTCCCTTGTTGAAAGAAATGTAGTAAATTCTGATCAATAAAATCAGGATCACTCTTTTGTTGAAAATGCTTGTTGTATTCAATCAAATTTAATAAATTTATTCAAAGCAGATTGGAGTGCAGAAAAATCAGCTTTTCAGTAGAAGTCACTAGATAGATGTGCAAAAATCTAAGAGCCTGGTTATTTAAAGACTAATAATTTGTGTTGTTGCCAGTATTTGTTATTGGAAGAAGATTTTACCTTGTCTATGACCATTTTGTCCTAATAAATTTCAAGATTTCAAGATCAGATTTCTCCAGTGTTTTTAACACAATTCAGCCTGAGTTACTTTGTCTGAAACTCCAGAAGACTCCGGCGGAGGCCTCAACAATCGCC